CCTTCCCAGCCCTACTGACGCTGCAGAAGAGCCTTTCCGCCGACTCCCTCTCCGACCAGGAAGACTCCGGGAGTTCGGGGGGCAGCAGTGGATCAGAATCCCCGGGGCTGGGCCCGCTGGGCCGGCGGCTGCCCATTTTCAGCCAGATCTCCGTCTCCGATGACTGAAGGGGCGTTTCGAGGTTGGGAGGAGAAACTGAGGCATGGAGAGAAAGAGGCGAGATTTCCCTTGTCCGCTCCCAGAGAGAGATGGAGGCAGCTAGGAACCTCTGCTCTTTGTGTGTGGATGCCCACCTGACTTTCTGCCTCTGCTTAAATAGGTTCGCTAGGTTTCCGCATCAATTCAAAAACCTCATTGACCTGTTTATCCAGAGGCAACCGTGTGTGTTTTTGTACGCCGTTGGGGGGCGAGAGGTGTGTCCTTCTCAGACCACTTCCAGCGCTCTTAAAAATGGTCTGGTTTCTCTTGATATCCTGAGTTGTTTGGGAAGACTCTTTTTTTATCCTGTCAATGATTTTATTTTATTTTATTGTTTGATAAAAAAACTGACGTTTCTCAAGCAATGGACTGAGATGAACAACTTCTGTGCTATATTGCTGGTTTTCTCTGCTTGAGGGAGGGATCGAGGAAATTATATGCAGAGTGAGAAGGATGTGGAACCACGAGAACAGGCAACGTCCTGCTTGCTGCGATAGTTTTACAGAGAGTGGCCAGGGACATGTGGGAAGTCTGGAGCAAAGCCGACTCCATGGAACGTGGCGAGATTTTTTGTGGCATCCAGAAGGGTGTTGTTTTCTGCCAGGCTACTCACATTTTCTCAGGGTCTCCTCCCCCAACTTGGTGCTCATATGTTGGACTACGACTCCCATTATCCATAGTCATCACTGCACATGGCTGGGAATTGTAGTCCAAAACCTCTGGCATGGGCACCAAGTTGGGGAAATCTGGCTTAGGGCCTTGGCAAAAAAAATATATTGTGACCCGTGAATTATGGGGTTCTGTCTCTGACTCCAAAAGATTTGCAGAACTTTATTTCGATACCATTGTGATGTATTCAACCAAATCCTACACAGAGTAGACCCACTAGCATTCAGGGACCTAAGTCGGCCGTGTTCCTTATCTCCAGTTGGTCTCCTCTGTGCAGCGCTAGCATTGGATCCTACCCTGAATGTTGGCTCCTGTCTCCATGCGAGAAGGAGCCGACAAATCTGCAGCTACTTGTGCTTTTTTGTCTTTTTGAAGCTGCAATATGGAAAAACTTAATTTTGGTGGTTGCCTTCCCCACCCCCCCAAAAAAAGCCTTAAGCAAGGGCTTTCCTTTGTGTTGTTTCAGCTGAGGATCTGGCGGCATGGAAAAAGGGAAAGCCAAGAACTTTCTGACTACGGGCAGGAAAGCTGGAGGGTGAAACTGACAGAATGAAAAACTTAAACTGACAAATACTCGCCTGCCAAGATCAAGATCTCTCTCTCTCTCTCTCTCTCTCTCTCTCTCTCTCTCTCTCTCTCTTTCTGTCTTTACTGAGGGGGTGGGAGAAATGGGAGAGAAGACCTCAAAAACTGACCAGACGCCGAAAGCATTTTTTTATTTTTAAGGGAGCGGCGACGCATTGGAATCGGAACTCTTCCCACAAATTTGAGCCCTTAGAGGAAAGAATGTTGGATGTTTCTGAATGGCTGGGGGGTGGGGAGAAGAGATTGTATTAACGGCGGGTTTCGCATTTTCTCAGGCCAAACACCCAAGTGCTTCTTAATTTATTCATTTTTGCAGAGCAGGTTGGGAAGAAGATGAGTTGGGTCCAAGGACGGAGGCCGCTGGGCAGTGCCAACTGGGATTTTCCCATCAGCCCTTGCGGGGTCTGATGGGAGATGCTGTCCTAAACATCTAGAGGGACCCCAGATTGCGTCTTGGGCTGGCCCTCCGGTTTTTGCAATGGAAACAGCAGCCCTTGGCATTCTTCTTTCCATGGCAGGCGTGTGGCTTGCTTGGAAACTCTCGGTCGCACAAGTATGTCAACACAACACTGGTTTTTTGGGCTCATGCCTGGGTCTCTCGAGTGTTACCTGATAAAAAAGATCTAGAAAACAGTGTCTGCAGACTAAAAAATGGGTTGAGAGGGGTTCCCCTTTACGCCTCTGCCCCGATGCAAACGACAGAGCCCTGCTAAAACCTCGTTTTCCCTCAGAAAGTGGGTTGAGATCTGTCTTTTGAAACTGCCTTCAAGTCTCCAAGATTGAGGGGGGAGACGGGGCGGGGGGCGTTGTCTGTCTCCTGCATTAATTCGCTCATCCCCTTATTGCACAGCCGGTCTTCTTAAAGAGTCAGGCCACCTGTGCCCTTCACAATAATGCTTTTGTAGTGGGGACAGGATTAGCCCCCAAGTTTGTGTGTGTGTTTTAAAAAAAGATATTCTCTTCAGTTGTTTTGAAGAAAGTGTGGTATTTCCCCCACAGGGACGACGACGACGACTTCTTTTTCCCCTTTAAAATATAAGGGGGAATTTTGCAGGTTCGGATTACGTTGCATGGAACAAGAGGAAAGGAAAGGTTTCCGTTCTCGAATTCCCTTTCAATCTCTATTTGTGCACGAATGAGGGTTCTCATTATTTTTTCAGGAGATTGGTGGGCGAATTGCACCTCTCCTAACCGAGCTAATATTTTTGTGCATCGGAAAACAATCCTTAATCTCGTGCTGGTTTTGCAGCTCATTCTTCCAAGGAATGTTTGATGTCTGGAGCACAGGAACACATTGTGTCGCCTGAGATTTCGGGCGATTCCTACCTACACAAGTTCTGTGTATGGAGAAAGCATATCAGGAGATAAACTGTCTCCAGGGAGGGGAAATCCAGGATAGAGAACCTCTGAATTTGGCAAAACTCCACCATGAATCCTTAATATATTGTAAGCTATTTATTGCATCCTTTTTAAAAAAATATATGAACGTTATTTCTGATATTTGGAACCAAATATTATTTTTTTTCTCCTTTTTATAGAAGTGCATAAAAGGTTCTTAGTTTATCTGCTAACTTTAAAAATTGAAAAAGCCAACGTCTGCCTTAATTTGGTGTGTGTCGGGGGAATATTCAGTATTAACTTATTGCTTGTTTGTGTCTTTTTATTTATAGAGTTGTCTCCCTTTCGTTAACGGGTTTCTGTGTTAATCAGAACGACTTTTAAAATGGGATGCGTCTGCATTTCCGGTTTGATCCTGTCGTAATAAAGTCTGTCTTATTTTAAACTCTCTCGTCTTGATTTTTTTTTTAAAAAAATAAAAACCTCACTCAGAACCTGCTAGAACCTACCAGGGTGCTCTGGCAGACTTGAAGGTAAATGTGGGTGAACTTTGAGTTCCACGTACATGGATAAAATATTTTCTTTTCTTTTTTAGCTTTTCTTCTTTTTTTTTAGCTGCATCTTAGGGTCTTCATTTGCAAAGCCGCCTTGAGTCTGGGCTAAGCTTAAAGGCAGGATAGAAATGTAAATGATAATGAATTAAGAAGCATCAACATTCTTCGATCAAATCCAAGCCTGCGAGGGTCGGGTCTCGTGCAAGGCAAGGATCTCACCTGCGTTGAATTTGTGCAAACCTCCCAGAAAATAACCCTCTTTTTTCGCCTCCAGCCACACTGTAAAATCTTTTTCTGCATTTTCTCCAGGGCTGGCCGGCTGCTTCTTTGAATCCATAACAGATGTTCGGGGCTTTGCAGCGAGTTTTCCCAGCGATCCATCTTCCTGCCCTGCCTCCCCCTTTTTTGCGAGAACAAAAGGCGTGCTTCTTTTTATTTTTAAAGGAAGAATCGCCGTCCCCTGTGATGTCGGGATGCCCAGAGATTCTCAACCCCCCCCCGGCTCGCCTTTCTGCCCCCACAAAAGTGCACAGCCTTACGGGAATGGCCCCAGATCACAAAAGCCCCACAGGAAGCCTGGGAGAGGAGGGGTTCAACAGATCGACCCACCCTAAAACACCCTCACCCTAGACTACTGATCCCCGTAAGCAGGGCAGAATTGCCGGGCTCACTGCTATCCCAGAGATGAAAAAGAGCTTAATAATAATAATAATAATAATAATAATAGTAATAATTATTATTTATACCCCGCCCATCTGGCTGAGTTTCCCCAGCCACTCTGGGCGGCTTCCAAAAAAATATTAAAATACGGTAATACATCAAACATTAAAAGCTTCCCTAAACAGGGCTGCCTTCAGATGCCTTCTAAAAGTCTGGTAGTTGTTTATCTCTTTGACATCTGGTGGGAGGGCGTTCCACAGGGCGGGTGCCACTACCGAGAAAGCCCTCTGTCTGGTTCCCTGTACCCTCATTTCTTGCAGGGAGGGAACCACCAGAAGGCCCTCGGTGCTGGACCTCAGTGTCCGGGCAGAACGATGGGGTGGAGACACTCCTTCAGGTCTACTGGACCGAGACCGTTTAGAGCTTTAAAGGTCAGCACCAACACTTTGAATTGTGCTCAGAAATGTTCTGGGAGCCAATGCAGATCTCCCAGGACTGGAGTTATGTGATCTCGGCGGCTGCCCCCAGTCACCCGTCTAGCTGCTACATTCTGTATAGTTATAGTTTCCGGGTCACCTTCAAAGGTAGCCCCACGTAGAGCGCATGGCAGTAGTCCAAGTGGGAGATAAGCAGAGCATGCACCAGTCTGCGGGCAGGGAGGGTCTCATCCTGCGTGCCAGATGGAGCTGATAAACAGCTGCCCTGGACACAGAGTTGACCTGCGCCTCCATGGACAGCTGTGAGTCCAAAATGACTCCCAGGCTGCGCACCTGGTCCTTCAGGGGCACAGTTACCCCATTCAGCACCAGGGAGTCCTCCACACCCACCCACCCCTTGTCCCCCAAGAACAGTACTTCTGCCTTGTCAGGATTCAACCTCAGTCTGTTAGCTGGCTTTAAAAGAGGATTATAGGTCCAAGTGGAAGAGGAGGAGGAGGATGGAGTCCCACCACCCAGACCCTCGCTCTTTCTCCTCCTCCTTAAAACCAGCCGGCGGTCAGTCGTCCTTCAGCACAAATTTGGGCATGGGACGAGGTTTGGCTTTCCAGGGTTCGTCCAGCCGGAGCCTCAGGACGTTGGCGAGGACCCACTTCTCCAGCAGGAGGGACCCCACAAACCAGATGAGGCTGTGCTCTAGGGCCACGATCCCCAGGAAGCTGTAGCGGAACTCGCTGAAGTCCCAGGGGCAGGTGCCGAAACAGCGGAGGGCATAGCCCGTCGAGAACTGCCACAGATAGATGCAGAGGCTGTAGAGGAGGCAGCGAGTCAGGAGGCAGCAGTCGTTGCGCAGCCAGAGGTAGATGCGCTCCAAGGCCAGGCCGCAGGTCCCGTAGGCGAAGAAAGACAGCAAGGTGGTGGCCCCGGAGAAGGCCCAGTCCTCGCCCGAGATGACGGCCGTGAACAGGATTTCCAAGAGGTAGCCATGGAAGGCGTAGAGGTACGCTCGGCACAACGGGTTCAGGGGCTCAGGGGCCGTCCCATTGCTCGCCGCGACCTGCGCACAGGAAGAGATGGGGCTCGTCAGGCAGAGGGTGGTGGAAATGAAGAATTGGGAGGGGACCTCCAGCGGCCATCTAGACCAACCCCAACCTGCAATGCAGGGATCAACGCAGAAGAAGCGCAGACAGATAGCCACCCAACAACCTCCAGTAAAGGGGGGTCCACCGCTTTCTGATGGAGTCTGTTCCTCGGCCAAATGACTATTGCTTCCATCAGGAAGTTGCTACTGAAATATACCATATATTTTGCTCTATAAGACTCACTTTTTCCTTCCTAAAAAGTAAGGGGAAATGTGTGTGCGTCTTATGGAGCGAATGCAGGCTGCGCAGCTATCCCAGAAGCCAGAACAGCAAGAGGGATTGCTGCTTTCACAATGCAGTGATCCCTCTTGCTGTTCTGGCTTCTGAGATTCAGAATATTTTTTTCCTTGTTTTCCTCCTCCAAAAACTAGGTGCGTCTTGTGGTCTGGTGCGTCTTATAGAGCGAAAAATACGTAGTTGGGATAATAATAATAATAATAATAATAATAATAATAATTTATTATTTATACCCCGCCCATCTGGCTGAGTTTCCCCAGCCACTCTGGGTGGCTCCCAATCAGTGTTAAAAACAGTACAGCATTACATATTAAAAACTTCCCTGAACAGGGCTGCCTTAAGATGTCTTCTGAATGTCAGGTAATTATTTATCTCTCTGACATCTGATGGGAGGGTGTTCCACAGGACGGGCGCCACTACCGAGAAGGCCCTCTGTCTGGTTCCCTGTAGCCTCACTTCTCGCAATGAGGGAATTTAGGGGTTTAAAGGTCAGCACCAACACTTTGAATTGTGCTCGGAAACGTACTGGAAGCCAATGCAGATCTCTCAGAACCGGTGTTATGTGGTCCCGGCGGCCACTCCCAGTCCCCAGTCTAGCTGCCGCATTCTGGATTAATTGCAGTTTCCGGGTCACCTTCAAAGGTAGCCCCACGTAGAGCGCGTTGCAGTAGTCCAAGCGTGAGATAACTAGAGCAAGCACCACTCTGGCGAGACAGTCTGCGGGGAGGTAGGGTCTTAGCCTGCGTACCAGATGGAGCTGGTAGACAGCTGCCCTGGACACAGAGTTAACCTGCGCCTCCATGGACAGCTGTGAGTCCAAAATGACTCCCAGGCTGCGTACCTGGTCCTTCAGGGGCACAGTTACCCCATTCAGGACCAGGGAGTCCCCCACACCTGCCCGCCCCCTGTCCCCCCAAAACAGTACTTCTGTCTTGTCAGGATTCAACCTCAATCTGTTAGCCGCCATCCATCCTCCAACCACCGGGATTGGCTTCCTAGCAGGTCCCCTGCACTTAAAAATACAGTGGTACCTCTGGATGTGAACGGGGATCCGTTCTGGAGCCCCGTTCGTATCCTGAAGCGAATGTAAGATGCAACTGTGCGTCTGGGCGTGCGCGGGTCGCGTTTCACCGCTTCCATGTATGCATGTGACATCATTTTGAGCGTCTGTGCATGCGTGAGTGGCAAAACCCAGACGTAATGCGCTCCATTACTTCCGGGTCGCCTTGGGACGCAACCTGAAAATATTTAAGCTGAAGCGTATTCATCCTGAGGTATGACTCTATCTCCGAGTGATGGTCTTCTGAGCCAGAGTTAAGCCCTCAGACGTTCTGCCAGTGCTTGCCAAGGTGCCAGGGGGCTTAGAAAAATTATTTAAGGGAATAGGTTATAGCCATCAGTCCAATACAGTACAGTGGTACCTTGGTTCTCAAACTTTGAAAACCCAGAAGTAGATGTTCCGGTTTCCAAACGTTTTTCAGAAGCCGAACATCCAATGCGGCTGTCAGCTATTGTTTCTGGGGCGTCTGCACCAATCAGAAGTCACGCCTTGGTTTTCGAACGTTTTGAAAGTCAAACGGACTTCTGGAACAGATTAAATTTGGCATTTTTCTTTTTGCTTTTTCTTTTGTGTTTTTGTTTTTGAGGCTTTTTCGGTTAATTTGTTTTTATGAATGTGTGGAACGCAGGTCAGCTATAATATTTTTAATTTTTCTCATCTACAATACTGTCTTATTTATTTTATAGTACAGTACATTGATTATTGCTTTCATTTTATGGGTCAATGGTCTTGTCAGATAGTAGAATTCATGTTAAACTGCTGTTTTAGGGGTTGTTTTTAAAAGTCTGGAATGGATTAACCCATTTTGCATTACTTCCCATGGGAAGGTGTGCCTTGGTTTTGGAACACTTTGGTTTTGGAATGGACTTGCGGAACAGATTACCATATTTTTCTGTCTATTGGTCGCCCCCAAGTATAAGACTGCCCCCTATTTGGGGGGACTCAGATTTAAGAAAATGGGGGGGGGGATATATTCCTGTATAAGATGCCCCCTAATTTTTGACGTTATTTTTTAGGGGGGAAACCTAGTCTTATACACGGAAAAATATGGCAAGTTTAAGAACTAAAGTACCACTGTATATAAAAAAAGTAGGCAGGTGGATATAAAGGACCCCTGACCATTAGGTCCAGTCATGGCTGACTCTGGGGTTGCGGCGCTCATCTCGCTTTATTGGCCGAGGGAGCCGGCGTACAGCTTCCGGATCATGTGGCCAGCATGACTAAGCCGCTTCTGGCAAACCAGAGCAGCGCATGGAAATGCCGTTTACCTTCCCGCCGGAGCGGTACCTATTTATCTACTTGCACTTTATGCTTTTGAACTGCTAGGTTGGCAAGAGCAGGGAACGAGCAACGGGAGCTCACCCCGTCGCGGGGATTCGAACCGCCAACCTTCTGATCAGCAAGTCACAAGCACTCATAAAATTTGCAATATATGAGCAAACAGAATGCACAGATCTAAGAACATAAGAGCAGGATGGGGCCAATGGCTCAATTCTGACAGTGGTTGAATACCCCAAAGAACCTGGGAGTCTAGATAGACTGTCTCTGGACCTGGAGGTTCCATAAGGACATAGGAATTTACTGGATCAGGCAGAACTATTTGGCACAGTGGCTGGCTAGATGCCTGACTAGAAAACCTGCAAGCGGGGTTTGAGGACTACAACTCCCATCAGCCACTGCTCACTTGGGCTGATGGGAGTTGTAGTCCAGAACATCTGGAAAGTTGGAGAAGAGCTACGGTGCGGCATATAAAGCCCCACTCACATATCGGGAATAGTGGGAAAGAACGTGGAAATAACTAAATTGATGGTTCTTATTACCCTGAGTAGTACCGAGTTAGAAACAAAAGAGGAATGCAAATGGGTAAAATTGATGATAATTGCTGCCAGACAGGTTATAGCGAGTAATTGGGAAAATGCAGAAGAGCTAGGGGTGAACCAGTGGAGGGAAAAACTGAACAATATTATAATTTTAGAATACCGAACTGTGAAGATACATAGAACGAAAGGGTTTAAGGTCTGTGAGAAGGAGGATTGGTTTGAGAAGATGTTGAATTATGTGAGTAGGTTTGAACAATTTGGGGCAATTAAAATGTTAAAAGTTAAATAAACCGTGTGGAAGGAAGAGTTTTAAGGTATATAGAAGTGTACGTGTGGTTAATTTGAATATGTTATTATTGAATATTATTGAATATGTATATTATTGAATATTGTATACCCAATGTATCAGCCGCCTGCGGGGTTTCACTGTTTGTGTTTTGGTGGTTGGTAAAAAATAATATAGGGAGGCGGGTGGCGCTGTGGGTTAAACCACAGAGCCTAGGACTTGCCGATCAGAAGGTCGGCGGTTCGAATCCCCGCGACGGGGTGAGCTCCCGTTGCTCGGTCCCTGCTCCTGCCAACCTAGCAGTTCGAAAGCATGTCAAAGTGCAAGTAGATAAATAGGTACCCCTCCGGCGGAAAGGTAAATGGTGTTTCCATGCGCTGCTCTGGTTCGCCAGAAGCGGCTTAGTCCTGCTGGCCACATGACCCGGAAGCTGGATGCCGGCTCCCTCAGCCAGTAAAGTGAGATGAGCGCCGTAACCCCAGAGTCAGTCACGACTGGACCTAATGGTCAGGGGTCCCTTTACCTAAAAAATAATATATATAGAGATAGATAGATAGATAGATAGATAGATAGATAGATAGATAGATAGATGATAGATAGATATAGATGATAGATAGATATAGATAGATAGATAGATAGATAGATAGATAGATAGATAGATAGATAGATATAAAATAATAGTTAAAAAATTATTGTGTCTGCACATCGCCGTGTTTGGAACTTGATTGTTGCAACCTTGAGGGCTAGAAGCATGCTGTTTTGCCATTAATGAAACACGAATGCTGTGGGTTCTTCCTGGATCCGGCCCAGCTTGCACAGTCGCCTCACCCATTAGACTGCTCTGACAACTCTGTTGCCCAACCCAGTCTAGGTGGTGCTGCCTCAGACAGGTTCCCCAAGATTTTCCACCAGCTGCAATTCAGAAGAACGTGTAGGGAGCTCGCTCAGATCACAGCCCAGGACTCTGTTTCCAGCTGTGGCTACACACAAAAAAGGTAAAAGGTAAAGGGACAACTGGACGGTTAAGTCCAGTCAAAGGCGACTCTGGGGTTGTGGCGCTCATCTCGCTTTCAGGCCGAGGGAGCCGGCGTTTGTCCACTAACAGCTGTTGTAAGAAAAAACTGCTCCTTTCCCCTTACGGGGTACCCAAGAGCCCATACAGAGTCTTTTGTAGGTTCCCTATCGGTAGGAGAAAATAACAGAAGCCAACCAGAGAATATTGAGAAGCAAAGCATGGGGAAAACCATGAAGTCAGCCCATGCCTCTACAGAGCTCCATCCTTATTTCAGGCATTGTGATATATCTGTATATTGTGATGTTTAGCTGATAGTTAAAGCACCCCTGGGGGATGCAGGTGGCGCTGTGGGTTAAACCACAGAGCCTAGGACTTGTTGATCAGAAGGTCAGCAGTTCGAAAACCCCGTGAAACTTGCAAAAATGCAAGTAGATAAATAGGTACCACTCCGGCAGGGAGGTAAATGGCGTTTCCTAAAATGCACTTAAAAATAAAATAAAATACCCCTCTTCCTATTCATCTTGAACAATATTCACACAAAGGCATGTTGAGGTTTTTAAACAGGGGTTGGCTGGCCATCTGTTTGGGGATTCTTTTGCCCTGCACTCCTGTGGGTGGGGCTGGATGATCCCTGAGGGTCCCTTCTGACAATTCTACGATTCTTTGAGGTCAGGGTTTGGTCCCATCAGCCCCACCAGCCAGCAGGAACAATGTTTAGAGACTATGATGATGATGATGAGAGAATCTGGAGGCTGAGAGGGAGGCTGGGTCAGAAGGAAATGAATGGATATTGATTTATATATTATTATTAACTTTGCACAAACGTTACATTTTTTATCTGTGACAGCGTATCTTTGCAAAATTTTGTGCAAGCTGCCTGTCGCTTGCTTCAGTTCCCTGTACACCACTTAGGGATGCTTTTAATATATCAAGCGGTACAGAAATCAATCGGTCAGTTTCAGACCCTGCCGCACTTTCTGCCGCCTCCCATTCAAACAGTCCAAAAGTGAGCTACTTACCCCAGAATCGCTGGTTTCCCCCAATGGTCTTCCTTTGCTGCCTATATTTCTATGTTTTCATATATTTCTAAATGGACCACAGCGGTCTTGAAGGGAAACAGGGACTTCTGAGAGGCAGAGAACTCCTGGGACCTCTTCCCGGGTCCGGAAGGGAATGATGCCTAGTGGTTGGAGCAGTGAGGCGAGAAGTTCCCGTTCCACGCCCCGATTTGTGGGTGTGTCAATTCCTCCCACGGAGGCTTCGCTTTCCACACCATTTCAAAGGCACCTGCTGATAATTAGGGGGGTAATTAGACGTGTTTCGCAGGGAGGGGCAATTTTTTTGCTCCACTCCTTTGTGCGCCTCCGTGTAAACACGTTAGCAAACATAAAACTCAGGGGAGGAAAGCCAAGTCAGGCTCCAGGTCTTCCTAGATGGCCAGAACATTGGCTGCCTAAACCTGGAATATTCATCCCTGCTTGGAAATTAGACAGCGGAACGAATCCCATGGAATTATGTATTTCAGAGGGGTGATATCTGATTGAAGCCTCAGTGAGGAGGACGTAATAAACAAAAATCTGCCCTTATTCCCTTATGGGGGGAACAATATTCTCTGGTTGGCCTCTGCTGTTTTCTCCTACAGATGGGGGACCCACTTAAGGACTCTATATGGGCTCTTTTGGACACCCCATAAGGGACAATGGAGCAGTTTTTTCTTATAACACGATCCTTCCACCAATGGAGCTCTTGGGTAAGTGTGAGTGTCTCCCCCCACTTTCCAGAGCCCCCTTTCTTTGTCCATGGATAGTCCAGGGCCTTCCAGCCCTGCTTAAGGGGATCCTAAATGGCCTCGGTCCTGTATACCTGAAGGAGCGTCTCCACTCCCATCATCCAGCCCGGACACTGAGGTCCAGCTCCGAGGGCCTTCTGTCGGTTCCCTTACTGCGAGAAGCGAGGTTACAGGGAACCAGGCAGAGGGCCTTCTCGGTGGTGGCGCCCGCCCTGTGGAACGCCCTCCCTTCAGATGTGAAGGAAATAAGCAGCTATCCTATCTTTAAAATACATCTGAAGGCAGCTCTGTTTAGGTAAGCTTTTAATGTTTGATGCATTACTGTATTTTAATATTTTGTTGGGAGCAGCCCAGAGTGGCTGGGGAATCCCAGCCAGATGGGTGGGGTATAAATAAATTATTATTATTATTATTATTATTATTATTATTATTATTATTATTAGACTTGGGTCAGATGAGAGGGGTTGCTCTGTTTAACCCTTCCTCACCCAGGCTGCCTGTTGGGCTGTGTGACCTTGGGCAGTTCCCACGAAATTATGCCTTGGTGGGGAGGGAGCAGGGCAGAAAGGCTTTGGGGAGAGGGCTTGAGGATCTCCGGCAGCCTTGCAGTACATGGCAGGCGATGGGATTTCCCTCCCCTTTTTAAGAAAGACCTTTTGTTCTCCTTTAAAAAGTGGGAAGAGCTCCCACTCCAAATCTCCCTGGAACATCTGCTATAGATTCAAATAAGCCAACACTCAGGCTTGGACAAAGTATACAGTACTGGGTTTGACACCCTCCAACATTTCTCCAATAAAAATAGGGACATCCTATATAATAATAAGGGATGTGGGTGGCACTGTAGGTTAAACCACTGAGCCTAGGGCTTGCCGATCAGAAGGTCGGCGATTCGAATCCCCGCGACGGGGTGAGCTCCCGTTGCTCGGTCCCAGCTCCTGCCAACCTAGATAAATAGGTACCACTCCGGCGGGAAGGTAAACAGTGTTTCTGTGCACTGCTCTGGTTCGCCAGAAGCGGCTTAGTCATGCTGGCCACATGATCCAGAAGCTGTACGCCGGCTCCCTCAGCCAATAAAGTGAGATGAGCGCCGCAAACCCAGAGTCGGCCAGAGTCAGGGGTCCCTTTACCTCTATATAATAATAATACCTCACCCATATGACTGGTTCGCCCCAGCCACTCTCCCAATATATATAAACACAAAATCAAACATTTAAAAACTTCCCTATACAAGGCTGCCTTCAGATGACTTCTAAAGGTTGCGTAGTTACTTACCGTATTTTTTGCTCTATAAGACTCACTTTTTCCCTCCTAAAAAGTAAGGGGGAATGTGTGTGCGTGTCTTATAGAGCGAATGCAGGCTGCGCAGCTATCCCAGAAGCCAGAACAGCAAGAGGGATTGCTGCTTTCGCTACATAGCGATCCCTCTTGCTGTTCTGGCTTCTGAGATTCCGAATATTTTTTTTCTTGTTTTCCTCCTCCAAAAACTAGGCGCGTCTTGTGGCCTCGTGCGTCTTATAGAGCGAAAAATGTGGTATCTCCTTGGCTCGGGTGGTCGCATAACTCCATACTCTCCAACATTTATTTGATGAAAATAGGGAGGTCCTAAGGAAAAGTGGGGCGTTCCAGGATCAAATCAGAAACCGGGACAGCCTCGGGTCAAGAACTTTGCTTCAGGATGAGAACAGAAATCGTGCTCCGGCGGCGCGGCAGCAGCAGGAGGCCCCATTAGCTAAAGTGGTGCTTCAGGTTAAGAACAGACCTCCAGAACGAATTAAGTTCTTAACCTGAGGTACCACTGTGCAGTCTCTCCTGTTGCAGTGCTTCATCCATGCCGGCACTCCGGATTCCTGAAATGTGCTTGCTTCAGGGCCACAAAGCTATTCTTTGCCTTCTGCTCTGAAAATGCAGATTTGATACGCAAAAGTCTTGGCTACGCGCAGGGTTAAAAGGTGGGGTGGTGGTGGAATGTGTGTGTTTTCCTGGCCTGTGTGCACAAGTTGCCTGTGGAAGCTGCAAGCCAAGACAGCGTGATTCTGCAGAGAAATAAACCAACTTTTTTTTGCAGCGCTTGCAAAACTTCCCGGTCCTGCAAAATGTATCATCGCTGGACCACTTCTCAAAGTGCTGCAACAGCTCCCTCTGCTGGATGGCTGATGAAGCACTGGCAGCCTGTTTATTGAATGCTCATCCTCAAGCCCTTTAGACTATCTGATTTTATTTTTAAATGTAGGCTTGGGTTAAGCGAGGACGCTTCCAGATGACCTGCTCATTGAGCACTTGCACTGATTTGTTTGTGGGGATATGTTAGATGACGTTGCATCAAAGCAGGCGTTATTTCACGCTTCCCCTATCACTTTCCTTACTGCAAAAAGTCTGGATTTTCAGTCAGATGTGTTTTATTTGGGTGTTTTCATTGCCACCTCTACCCCTTACCCCAGGTATCCCCAAACTCGGCCCTCCAGATGTTTTGGGACTACAATTCCCATCATCCCTGACCACTGGTCCTGTAAGCTAGGGATCATGGGAGTTGTAGTCCCAAAACAGCTGGAGGGCCGAGTCTGCCCTATGCCTGCCTTACCCCTTCGAGCAATTGCAGCCGGCGCCCATGGGACATTTCTCTCCCCTTTTCTGGGTAATACCGTAAGGTTTCCCTGTGTATCTTCTCAGCTGGTGTGAATCAGAAAGGCCCAAACACTCATCCCTGCGCCTGGTTGTGCAGTGACACTGTTGACCGGAGAGGATGGAGGACTGGACCGACCAAGGGCCCAGACAGACTGGGGGGGTCCTGAGCCGCTCCATACCCCCCACCCTCCTCCAACGTGGCCTCAAGAGCTCCTTCGAGAAGGAACTGGAGGCTGCCCATGGCGGGAGTGCAAACAATAATAATAATAATTTATTATTTATACCCAGCGCTGAGAGCCTTCTGGCGTTTCCCTCATTGCGAGAAATGAGGTTACAGGGAACCAGGCAGAGGGCCTTCTTGGTGGTGGCGCCTGCCCTGTGGAACACCCTCCCTTCAGATGTGAAGGAAATAAGCAGCTATCTTCTCTTTAAAAGACAACTGAAGGCAGCCCTGTTTAGGGAAGTTTTTAATATTTAATACTGTACTGTTTTTAACATTGGATTGGGAGCCGCCCATAGTGGCTGGGGGGGGGGGCTCAGTCAGATGGGCGGGGTATAAATAATAAATTATTATTATTACCCCACCCATCTGGCTGGGTTTCTCCAGCCACTCTGGGTGGCTTCCAACAAAGCTAAAAACACATTAAAATGTCACACATTAAAAACTTCCCTGAACAGGGCTGCCTTCAGATGTCTTCTAAATGTCTGGTAGTTGTTTATCTCTTTGACATCTGATGGGAGGACGTTCCACAGGGCGGGCGCCACCATTGAGAAGGCCCTCTGCCTGGTTCCCTGTAAGTTTGCTTCTCGCAATGAGGGAACCGCCAGAAGGCCTTGGCGCTGGACCTGAGTGTCCGGGCAGAACGATGGGGGTGGAGATGCTCCTTCAGGTATACTGGGCCTTTGAGGCCGTTTAGGGCTTTCAAGGTCAGCACCAACACTTTGAATTGTGCTCGGAAAGGTACTGGGAGCCAATGTAGGCCTTTCAAGACTGGTGTTATATGGTCTCGGCGGCTGCTCCCTGTCACCTGTCTAGCTGCCGCATTCTGGATTAATTGCAGTTTCCGGGTCACCTTCAAAGGTAGCCCCACGTAGAGAGCATTGCAGTAATCCAAGCAGGAGATAACCAGAGCATGCACCACTCTGGCCAGAGAGTCTGCAGGTAGTGAGGGTCTCATCCTGCGTATCAGAAGGAGCTGGAGACAGCTGCCCTGGACACAGAATTGACCTGTGCCTCCATGGACAGCCGTGAGTCCAAAAGGACTCCCAGGCTGCGCACCTGGTCCTTTAGGGGCACAGTCACCCCATTCAGGACCAGGGAATCCCCCACACCTGCCCGCCCCCTGTCTCCCCAAAACAGTACTTCTTTGTCAGGATTCAACCTCAATTCATTAGCAGCCATCCATCCTCCAACCGCCTCTGGACACTCACACAGGACCTTCACCACCTTTATTGGTTCTGATTTGAAATAAGCCACAGGAGTCAATTGTGCAGGCCAGATTTCCCCAAACTTGATTCTCCAGCTGTTTCTGGACTACAACTCCCATCATCCCTTGCTGGCAGGAACAGTGCCCGGGAATGAATGGGTAGTCCAAAAACAGTGAGCCAGGTTGGGAAACCTTGGTGTGGGCACTTTGGGCAAAGGTTGTGGCTTAGTGTTAGAGCAACTGCTTTGTATGGAAACCTGGGGAGCTGTTGCCAGTCCATAGCTGTCAACTTACAGATATGAAAATAAGGGATCAGCAGCCTCGAAAATAAGGGATCAGCCACCAAAATAAGGGATTTTAGTCAACCAGCAGCCAAACGAAGCCTCAAGCAGTGGTTCCCACAGCGCAGCAACCCGACAAAGGGGATGCAGCAAGGAAAACCACCGTCCCCTCTCCGCTGGGAAGCGCTGAGCAAAGGCGAGTCCCCAGGCAACGCGGCCGATTTGATTGGCACAAGGCATGCAAGCTCCACCCGCCAGTCGTTCTTAGACTCCTTATTGGGTGATCAATGCAGCCAAGCAACACAGTTGGAGCCTCCCTCCTCCCTGGCCGGCAGGGAGGGAGGGAGGGAGAGGAGCTGCTTCCTTGAAACCCGGGAAATTTATGGGACATCATCAATAAGGGACAGCAGTGGGACACGGCGCTGGGATAAGGAACTTTCCCGCCAAATAAGGGACGGTTGACAGCTATGTGCCAGTCAGAGTAGACAGTTCTGAGGTAAATGGACCAATGGATTGGTTTGCTCTAAGGTCCCTTCCCGTGTGTGTATTAAACCACCCCTTTATTCAGAATCTGGCATCTTGGTATATTTTTAGGGGGCGAGCCGCGAATCAGGGGTGTTGCGACTGCTGCGCATGCAGGAACAGGACTCAAATTCATTCCACAGCAGCATATTTAATAAATAAATAGAAATAAAAAGAAATCCCCAGGCAGGGCTGGAAAAGTCTCCCGCTGAACTCCTGCAGATCCGACGCTGCCCAGTGTTGACAATATGAGCTAAACAGACCCAGCTCCCAGTGTTGCTATTTGCTGAGAGACCAGCTCATTGTACGTAGGGGTTGAAACGCTTGCAAGTCTATGATCCCAGGGGGACAGCTGTGGCTCAGTGGTTAGAGCATTTTCCTGGCCTGCAGAAGGTCCCGGGTTCGATCCTTCCGATCCCTCGAGACTCCTTTCCGCCACGGCTCCAGGATCGCGGCATTTGCCACCACCTTCTCACAACAACCCTGTGAGGTAGGTGAAAGCGGGAGACCGTCACCAGAGTCCAGGGTCACCCAGTGGCTGGCGGAGGAGGATTCGAACCCATGGCTCAAACTCAAAGTCGGAGGAGTTCAGACGCGAGGAGGGAAAGCAAGGCTTGGGGTATATTGCAAAGAAGAAGAAAAAGCCTGTTGGGTCCGGGCTGTTATGTACTGAGTTGAATAGGATCCTAAATGCAGCATTCTGGTTGGTCCTAGAACAATAGGATCCTAAATGCAGCAGTCTGATCAGTCCTAGAACAATAGGACCCAGAATGCAGCAGTCTGATTGGTTCCACCCAATCCAACTCTGGGTGGAAGTGAATCCGCAACCTGATTGGCGTACAGGTGAATCCCGGAATTAGCCAATCACATGGGGCCCATTGTGTAAATAATGTATATAAAGCAGACATTCTGGGGGAACTTCCATTCCTCCTCACCACTATGAGCTGAATAAAGAGCACGAAATCCGCACTCGGCTCCGAGTATATTTCAGGGACCCAGCCAGCCCAACACCCTGTGGCCCACTAGAGGCCCGCCGGAAACCCGGAAGTGGGACCTGAGTGCGAGAACAACTCTCCCCGCCTGCGGCTTCCAGCAACGGGCCTTCAGGAGCATCGCTTGACCGTGGAGGAAGAGTGCGGCCATTGTGATAGCCGGCCCCTCCGCAGATTTGCCCAGAGGAAGAAAAGGATGGAGTATGACTGTCCGGGATCTTAAATCTCCCTGGTTTTCTCTCCATCCTGAGTTACCCCGAACTCAGTCGTCTTTCAGTTCGAACCTGGGGAAGGGGCGCCCTTGGGTGCTACCGGCCGGATCCAGCCTGAGCCTCAGGGCATTGCGGATGACGATTTTCTCCAGCAGGAGGGCGCCGACGAACCAGAAGAGGCAATACTCCAGGGTGACGAGGCCCATGAAGTTGTACCGGTAGTGGCTGTAGTCCCAGGGGCAGGCGTTGAAGCATTGCAGCGCATAACCGGTGGAGAACTCCCAGAGGTAGATGCACAGGGTGTAGATGGCGCAGCGGGTCACCAGGAAGCTGCGGCCCTTGAGCAGGACGTAGAGGCGCTCGAGGGCCAGGCCGCAGGTCCCATAGATGAAGAGGGCCCAGACGCTGGTCACCCCCTGGAACTTCCAGTCCCGGTCCACCACAAAGGACCAGGCGGCCGTGAACATCACTTCCGAGAAGTAGCCGTGGATGGCGTAGATGTACCAGCGCCAGAAGCGACTCAGAGGCTCGCCGGTGCTCCCCATGGCTGGAGACCTGCGTGGGGCAGATGGGGGACAGAGGGGCATTTGTGAATTATTATTATTATTATTATTATTATTATTATTATTACTCGCCCATCTGGCTGGGTTTCCCCAGCCACTCTGGCGGCTTAAAGGTAAAGGTAAAGGGACCCCTGACCATTAGGTCCAGTTGTGGCCAACTCTGGGGTTGTGGCACTCATCTCGCTTTACTGGCCGAGGGAGCCAGCGTACAGCTTCCGGGTCATGTGGCCAGCATGACTAAGCCGCTTCCGGTGAACCAGAGCAGCGCACGGAAACGCCGTTTACCTTCCAGCCAGAGTGGTACCTACTTATCTACTTGCACTTTGACATGCTTTTGAACTGCTAGGTTGGCAGGAGCAGGGACCGAGCAAAGGGAGCTCACCCCGTCGCGGGGATTTGAACTGCCGACCTTCTGATCAGCAAGTCCTAGGCTCTGTGGTTTAACCCACAGCGCCACCCGCATCCCTCTGGGCGGCTTACAGCACATTAAAAAAATCGCAAAACATTAGGCATTAAAAATTTCCCGATACATTCAAACTGAAATTCCCAGGTGTCAGAAAAGGTTATTTATGTGTGCCGCTAATGCGGCCTGTGTTTTGTCAGCCCCCAAAAAGGGAAAACGAGAGACCAAAGAGGAATGGCAACTTAAGATGACAGAATAGGTCCAAACTCACAGACTTAACATACAGAATAAGAGAACAAGAAGATCGTACGTTTAGAGAAGATTGGAAAACCATTGATTTAATATATGGGAAATAATTGTGCACAGCGGAAAACGCTGGCAGCATTAAGATAAATTCAACAGTGTAAACATGTTTTGATGGATGCAGTAATGGAATACTGAATGGTGTAGTTTTTGTAAAATATGCAGGGATTTATGATATGTAAATAGTGATGTATGGAAGTGAGAGGAAGTGAGAGCTGGACCATAAAGAAGGCTGATCGCTGAAGAATTGATGCTTTTGAATTCTGGTGCTGGAGGAGACTCTTGAGAGTCCCATGGACTGCAAGAAGATCAAACCTCTCCATTCTGAAGGAAATCAGCCCTGAGTGCTCACTGGAAGGACAGATCCTGAAGCTGAGGCTCCAAGACTTTGGCCACCTCAGGAGAAGAGAAGAAGACCCTGATGTTGGGAAAGATGGAGGGCACAAGGAGAAGGGGACGACACAGGACGAGATGGTGGGACAGTGTTCTCGAAGCTACCAGCATGAGTTTGACCAAAGTGCGGGAGGCAGTGGAAGACAGGAGTGCCTGGCATGCTCTTGTCCAGGGGGTCACGAAGAGGCAGACACGACTGAACGACTAAACAACAACAACATGATATGTAAAATGAACCATGGAAAGAGAAGGAGCGAAGTCATTGATATCTTAAGGATGTAAAAATGAGTACAGTGGGACCTTGGCTGTCAAGCGTAATCCGTTCTGGGATTTCGAAAACCAAGGCACGGCTTCCGATTGGCTGCAGGAGCTGCCTGCTCTCAATCGGAAGCCGCGTCAGACGTTCAGCTTCCAAAAAAATGTTCCCAAACACTCACTTCCGGGTTTGTGGCATTTGGGAACCGATTTGTTCAGGAGCCAACCGTTCGACAACCAAAGTACCACTGTACACAGTTCCATCCTTTTTCAGATATTGTGATATATCTGTATATTGCGACGTTTAGCTGGTGATCTGGTTGAAAACCAAATATCTCCCAGCCCTAGTTAGAACCCTGTCCTTTTAGTCTCTCTCCCATCCAAAAGGAGGTCCTTACCACTGATTTGCTGCGGCAGATTTCTGCTTCGCTCAAGTAGATGGCCGGATGAGGGCAAACTCCCTGGAGCTCTTCTCAGCTCTGGAAGAGGCAGTGTTGTCCAGTGGTTGGAGCAGGGTGGAATAAATCCTGTTTCTCGCTCTGGGGAGAGAGGAGTCTTTATTAGGCTGGTGTCGTGTGCCAGAGAACAAGTCCGACTCGCTCTTTTTCTGGTTGACTCACTTCCTCTTGCCAAAGCCCAATCAAGTCCTCTGATTCTACCTTTTCAGGCTGGCGTAATTAAAAAAATCACAGGAAGAGCCTTTTAATCACTTGACGAACCACCACCCCAATAAAGAAGAAATCCAGGTCAAGGGATGTGACTTCTTCTAAGCTAGGGATGCGTCAACCTTTTGAACCCTGAAGGGGAGCCTTCCAGGCAGGGCAGAACAAAGGTTGGGACTCTGAGTTACGTCCTATAAGCTGCATTTCCGACACGCAAAAATCAGATCCGTGGTTTCCAAACTCTTCCCCCTCCATAGACCACTTTTGAAAGCTCCCGAGGGTCTTGGCAGACCGCTTAATCCTAGAACCATGAGTAGAGTTAGAAGGGTCCCTGAGGGTCATCTAGTCCAACCCGCTTCAATGCAGGAATCTCAACTGAAACATCCATTAAGATGCCCCCCACAACCTCTGCTTAAAATCCCCAAGGAAGGAGAGCCCACCACCTTCCACCCCACAGCCAAACAGCCCTTCCCATTAGGAAGTCATTCCTGATGTTCAGCTGGAATCTCCTTTCTCGTAATTTGAAGCCACGGGTTCGAGTCCTACCCTCCAGAGCAGCTTGCTCCCTCTTCCATGCGGCAAACCCATCACATATCAGAAGAAGACTCCTCGTTCAGATATGAATCTCCTCCCGGTCTCCTCTTTTCCAGGCTAAACCTACCCAGCTCCTTCAACCGTTCCTCATCAGGCTTGATGATTTCACCACTGCCCGTCGCAGCCACCGCAAAGCGGGTTGGACTGTATGACACCGGGAACCCCTTCCAACTCCTGTGCTCGGATCCTGATTGTGAGAGCAGGATGCTGAACTAGATGGGCCATTGGCCTGATCCAGCACCCTCTTCCGTTCTTATGAGAGGCCTTGGGGTCCACATTTGGCTAAGATCCGCCCCCTCTTCTCTCTCCTCCCTGGGTGCTTCCAGCGTAGGTGTGAAGTCACCCTGCCTTCCTCAATCGCAATTCACTGCCTGGCATTTTATTTCTGCTCCGTAGGTTTTTCCAGCAGCCGTTGAAGATTCCCTGGGGCTCCCAGGTTGGCACCTTGCTCTGCTTTTGGGTCTCTCCGATGCCAGGCTTGGTAAACAAACTGCAGCGTCTCTGCCAGCGGGGAAGATTTCCTAGAGAACATCTCATTCTCCCCTGCTAATTAGACTCCGGTGGGTCTCAGAGGATTATGATTTCAGCTCTCGGAGCCACAAAAGGTGGGGTCTCCAGTTCAAGTGCGAGCCGTCTCGGCCGGAGAGATAAAAAGCAAGAGGAAATAATTATACAGTGGCACCTTGGTTCTCAAACGCCTTGGTATTCGGACATTGCAAACCTGGAAGTACGTGTTCCATTTTGCAAACTTTTTTCGAAAGCCGAGCATGTTCTGTTTTGAGTGTTACGCTTCCGATTTGAGTGTTACGCTGAGGTCTGTCTGTTTTTGCTATTTATTTTGCATTTTTGTGGCTATTTTTGTTTTGTTTTTGTGACTGTGCAAAGCTGCCAACGTTTCCCTTTTCTTGCGAGGAATCCTATTTGGAATAAGGGGATTTCCCTTTAAAAAAAGGAAAATGTTGACAGCTATGTGACTGTGTGGAACCCGGTTCAGCTACTGATGGGTTGATTGTGTGACCGCAATACATTATTGCTTTCATTTTATGGATCGGTGGTCTCGTTAGATAGCAAAATCCACGTTCAATTGCTCTTTTAGTGGTTGTTTTTAAAAGCCTGGAACGGATCGATCTGTTTTGCATTGCTTTCCATGGGAAAGCAGCGCGCCTCGGTTTTGGAACGCTTTGGTTTTGGAACGGACTTCCAGAACGGATTAAGTTTGAGAACGAAGGTACAGTGGTGCCTCGCAAGACGAAAATAATCCGTTCCGCGATTCTCTTCGTCTAGCGCTTTTTTCGTCTTGCGAAGCAAGCCCATTAGCGGCTAAGCGGATTAGCGCTATTAGCGATTTAGCGGCTTAGTGGCTATTAAAGGCTTAGCGGCTAAGCTGTTAAAAGGCTATTAATGGCTTAGCGGCTTTGAAAAAGGGGGGGAAGCAGGGGGGAAATGGCGAGACTCGCAAGACGTTTTTGTCTTGCGAAGCAAGCCTATAGGGAAATTCGTCTTGCGAAGCGCCTCCGCAACGGAAAACCCTTTCATCTAGCGGGTTTTCCGTCTTGCGAGGCATTCGTCTTGCGAGGTACCACTGTACCGCTGTATAGATATTGCTACACAGCACCCCAATTTCAGGGCAGCAAAAGATTCCACCAGTCCCAAGCAGAAGGGAATTAAGGTGGCGTATTTAAGGATATATGGCATGGAGAACAGCAATAGCTATACCCTCACACCCCTCCAAGTGTCCCTGTTTTCCAGGGACAGTCCCGGATTTAAATAAGCCATCCCGGTTTCTGATTTGATCCCGGAATGTCCCGCTTTTCCTTAGGACGTCCCTATTTTCATCAAATACATGTTGGAGGGTATGTTCTCTACCTCCACAAAGTTGCTGGAAACCATGGGCTGATGCCAAAGTCCCTTCTGATGTTCTTATGTTAACTTATGGAACTCCCTTCCACAGGAGGCTGTGATGGCTAGATGCAGCGCTCATCTCGCTTTACTGGCCGAGGCAGCCGGCGTACAGCTTCCGGGTCATGTGGCCAGCAGGACTAAGCCGCTTCTGGCGAACCAGAGCAGCGCACGGAAACGCCATTTACCTTCCTGCCGGAGTGGTACCTATTTATCTACTTGCACTTTGAGGTGCTTTCGAACTGCTAGATTGGCAGGAGCAGGGACCGAGCAACGGGAGCTCACCCCGTCGCGGGGATTCAAACCGCCGACCTTCTGATCGGCAAGTTCTAGGCTCTGTGGTTTAACCCACAGCGCCACCCACATCCCAGATCATCCGGGATAGGGATGGGCAAATCACTTTGGGGGTATTGTTCTTAATTATTATTATTAATAATAATTATATATTTATCAGTTGCTTTATTCATGAAAATAACTGGGGGGAGCGGGGTAAAAGGAACGCAGTCTGCTTTCTCCTTCGTTTTCTCCCTGGCAAGAAGGCAGGTGGTAGCGAATGATAAGGAACCGAAGTCGCAGAAGCCATTGGCGATAAGGGCAGGTTCAGCGACCTTGCGTGCCCACAGTGGATTCTGCAACAAGCAGCCCACGTGATCAATATACAAATCAACAACTGTCTGACTTTTGGAAGACATCTGAAGGCAGCCCTGTTTAGGGAAGTTTTTAATGTTTGGTGTTTTCTTGTGTTTTTAATACTCTGTTGGGAGCCGCCCAGAGTGGCTGGGGAAACCTAGCCAGATGTGCAGGGTAGAAATAATAAAATTGTCATTGTTATTGTTATTCTTAGGATGGAGTGACTCCCTTATGAGGAAATACAGTCATACCTCATGTTATGACTGCTTCATGTTACGTTCTTTCAGGTTACGTCCCGCGGCGACCCGGGAGTACCGGAAAGGGTTATTTCCGGGTTTCGTCGCAGAAGCGCAAAATGACGTCATGCGCATGCGCGGAAGCGGCGAATCACAACCCATGTGTGCGCAGACGCGCCGCTGCGGGTTGCATTCTTTTCATGTTGCGAACGGGCCTCCGGAACGGATCCAGAGGTACCACTGTAGTTTGCAGAGCTTGGGACTTTATAAATTCATAGTGAGAAAGCAGTGGGGGGAAAGTTTCTCTCCCTCTCAGTTTCATAGACTTTGTAGAGTTGGAAAGGGACCCCTGGACATCATCTAGTCCAACCCCGCTGCGATTCAGGAATACGCAGGTGTCCCATACGGGGATCGAACCTGCAACCTTGGCGTTCTCAGCACCGTGCTCTAACCAACCGGACTACCCACTGCCCTATCAGGACAGAGACAAGGAAGCCTTTTTTCAAGCAGCACAGGGTTAGACTATGGAACTCCCTCCCACAAGAGACATGGATGGCTGCCAACCTGGACGGTTTTCAAACAGGATTGGAGAAATTTGTGGAGGAGGAGAGGGCTGTTGGCGGCTACCGGCCAGGATTTCTCTGTTCTGCCTCAACAGTCGGAGGCAGCAGTGCTTCTGAATCCCAGCTGCTGGAAAACGCGGGAGGGGAGAGTTGGTCTTGTGTTCGAATCCTGCTTGTCGGTTTCCCGTTGAAGCATCTAGGCGGCCACTGTGAGAACAGGAGGCTGGACTAGATGGGCTCCCTCTGGCCAGATCTTTACCTTCTCAAGGAAACAGTGTGGTGCAGTGGTTAGAGCGCCAGACTAGGACCTCGGAGACCAGGGTTCAAATAATAATAAGAATATAATAAATTTTATTTATACCCCACCCTCCCCAGCCAAGACCGGGCTCAGGGCAGCTAACACCAGGTATAAAAACAATTGATTAAAGTACAGTGGTACCTCGGGATGCGAACGGGATCCGTTCCAGAGCCCCGTTCGCATCCTGAATACAACATAAGATACGTCTGCGCGTGTGCGGGTCGTGTTTCGCCGCTTCTGCGCATGCGCACGACATCATTTTGACCATCTGCGCATGCGCGAGTGGCGAAACTTGGAAGTAACGTGCTCCGTTACTTCCGGGTCGCCGCGGAGCGCAACCCGAAAATACTTATCCTGAAGCCTGTTTATCCTGAGGTATGACTGTACAACTTAAAAACAAGATTAAAATACAACATTAACATGCAGCCTCCTTTTAGTAGAAACTCAAATCAAAAACTTTTTGGGGATGAAAACGTCAAATCTTCACCAAGGCCAACTATCCAATGTGGGCCAGAAAAAAGCCAGGGAAGTCCCCAAATAGGAGTTCCATCACAGAAGGAGAAAGGAAAAAGGGGGAGGGGATCAAGTTGATTCCAAGCCAAAGGCCAGGCAGAACAACTCTGTCTTACAGGCCCTGCGGAAAGAAATCAGATCCCC